ATTATTAGTGACAATCAATCTGGTCTTCGAAATTTCATGGCTATCCTGCGTTCTCTTGCGAGTCTTCCTGCTTCTTATCCCTTGCAATACGCGATGTCTTCCGCCAGCGAAGTTTTTCCACAGTATCTCATTCATGCAGGCGATGCAGTTCAGTCTTATAATTCTCTTGAAGAATGGCAAACCAATTTTGCCGATCCGCTATCATTCGCTTGGAGAAGTAAACGAATGCATTCGCCACCGGCAATTCTCTATGCCCATGGTAACCATGATCAAGATACGACAAATCGTTACATATACACGACGGGACCACGAAAAGGCGAAAATTGGTTCAGTGCAACTCTAGGTACAGCTCGTTTCATCGTGCTCGACTCACAACCACTGCATCTATTTAAAGCTCAATTAGACTGGCTTCAGCGAGAAACTCGTTTAGAGACATGGAACCGTGCATCATTCCGAATTGCTATTGTTCATATCGCACCCTTCATTGAATACTGGGAACCTCGTGCGTGGGAAGAACTTGGTGAAAAACATTGGGGAGATTACGTACGAACTCAGTTAGTACCGATCCTCATGAGTGGTGGAGTAGATTTGATTATCAGTGGACATCAGCATGCGTATTCACGAGGATGGATTTCGAATGAGATGGCGAAAGAGCTCACCAAAGACGAACTGAAAACTAACGTGAATAATAATAGACACCGTAAACGTGTTCATCTTATAAGGAACCATTGGGAGCGAAGACGCAATTTACAAGGCAAGGATAACTTCACTTATTCTGTCGGTCGCCTTCGAGAGGGCACGATGATAACAGTGATCGGCGGTGCTGGAGGTGAACTCGATTCAGAACGAGTAGAGGACTGGGGCTTTTATGAGACGAGCCTAACTGGACGATATAATTTTGCAGTGATCACATTGGCTCGTGAAGGATCTTGCTTAATGTGGAGAGCGTATGATACAAGTACTCAGTTAATAGATAAATTTGATCTCGTACGAACGTACGATGACTGAACTACTTCAGAAACTATTTTGAACAGCATATATTCGATCTATAATCATAAACAAACTTAGGCGAGAATGCAAGGATATTGTATCTTAATTACGGAATACATAAGCAGCTGTTTTGTCAAATGATTCAAATGAAAGAGATAGAGAAAGTAGTATCCTTTTCTTTTTCAAAATTAAGATCGTAGTCGCATATGAAGATATCAACCGTAAAAACAGATGCACGAGCCAAAAATACTAAGTACTGATTGCAATTTATGGTTATGACAGAGTCTCGACATAAGAAACAAGACAACAAACATTGACAACAATATATGGGGAAACACAAATGGCTTGGTGTAATCGAATATGAACAGATACAAATTTTAAGCACACAAAGAATTCAATATCTGTCAATCCGTGTTATTTGAAATAATAGACGGTACCACATAAAGACAGACATTTTTTCATATTGTGTAGAATATACTTGACTTTGACGAGATCAATATTCGACTTTTGAGAATATTTGTTTTCTTAAAATACAAAATGAATACTTATTCAAATAGTACCTACTCTTGTGTTGAAGAAAAAAGGGTTCTTGTTGTAGCGACTGTTACATGTCTGTGTATATCACTAGAGAGTGTGAGTGGGGATATGGATGTGGGAACAGAGAATAGTAGCCACACGGACATCACAATTAAATAATGGATGCAAATCGTCTGTTTTGCTTAGGAGTTATTTGTGTGTTTTATTTCAAGCAACTTTTAAAACATCTATTATATAAAAAAATATCACTTGTTCTGATCGAGTTTCTTCAAAATTAACGTTGAAGAAAACAAGTGATGAAAATAAATTATTGATTGAAATTTTTTTCTATGCAAAAGCTTCATTTAAGAAGTGACTTTTTATGAGCTACCAAACGTTTCTTTGAGAAATAATATTTGAAAAAGAATATCGAAAAAAAACCTGATTAATACAACTAGTTTGTAGAGTTTGAGATCTTCACTAAAAATAATAAGTTAATGATCCATTCAATTTACCTTTTTTAGTTTCCAACATAAATAATACGTGAGAAAAAGAAGAAGCACAATATTTTCTTTCATTCTGTTTTTATTTTGTCGCAGGTAAAAATGAATCATTTTACACAGGAACATTTACAATTAGTCACATTAGTAAGAAGTAAGTATAGGAATTTCCAACATAGAATATTTCTATTTTCAATATCAAATAATATGAATCCATCGATTCAAATATTACCAGTAGAAATATTTCATTATATTTTTGATAATCTTGATGCTCAAACTATTTTATTTTCAATTCGACCAACATGTCGATTATTTAAAGCAATGGTCAATAGTTATGACTGATATAATTTGGACTTTAAATCAATACCAAAGTCAAATTTTCATCTATTGTGTCGTTTAATTTATCCTCAGAATGTTATATCATTAAGGCTTTGTGATAATGAGTATACTCCAAATCAAATAGCTTCATTTATTTCATTGATTCATCTTCGACAATTTGCTCTACTTCATTCAATAACTTTTTTTGGTATTAAAGAATCCCAATTGAACATGATTTTGAAGTATATGAATTTAAATTTGCTAACTTCATTTTCATTGCATATCCGAGAATATGATAATAGACGAAAGAAAACAACATTGAATTTTCTTTCGTCAATTTTAGCACAATCCACTATTCGCAAAGTTGAATTGAATCTTAAAAAGGATCGAATATCTAATATATGATGGTCTGTCAATTCTAGAATCAAGTATTTAACTATAGATTCAGAGATTAATTTTGACAATATATTGACTATTGTTTTGGGTTCTCCTCATCTTCATAGACTTGTTCTGAAACAAAATTTACCAAACATAACTAAGAATATGAAACAGACATATTCTTTTCTATAATTAACTTCATTAACAGTAGAAAAACTATATGTTACAATCGATCAACTTGAATCATTTCTTTTATTAATGCCATCACTTATTTATCTAAAATTAATTGGTGAACAATGTGAATTAGATGGTAGATGATGCGAACAATTTATTCAGATGAATCTTTCATATTTGAATAATTTTGAGTTTTTTATTGATATTACGAAATCAGTTTTTCAAACTCCAGAAGATCTTGATTTAATAATTGAATCATTTCGAAGATCATTTTGGATTGAATATAAAAAATGGTTTGTAACCTGTCAATTTAGGTCTAATGATTCGAACAGAATTCAAATTTATTCAATATCAATTTGTAAGTCTGTTCTTCAATATGAATTAGATTCTTACTATATCCATCGTTCTAATTCGACAATATATTGAACTATGATCTATTTGCAATACAGTATATCAATGAACCTTTTTTACCATTGAAATTATCAACATATGGAATTATGAAAGAAAAAGTTTGTCTTAAGATTAATTTTATTAAACTATATTTCTTTTTATTTATTTGTAGAAATTAACAAAAAGTAATGCTATGTTTCCTAATATAACTAAACTTAATTTAACGATTGAAAGACGATCTCCTATGAATTCATTGGAATTTCTTCGTTCAGTAGTTGATGTTTCAAAATTGGTTGAAGTCAAATTAGAAAGTCATTGTTTCCACAAGGATAATCAAAATCTTTTGTTTGAAATTATCTCTATTCTTGAACAAGCATATTCTCTTTCATCTTTAATAATTCATAGTCGTTGTTGTAAATATGAATTGTATCCATTTTTGAATCACATATTTTCAATAATTCCACATCAGATCAAACGGTTACAAACACTGATCAATCAATTAGATCAAATTGAAACCATTTTGAAACGATGTCAAAATCTGTTAGTTGTACGATTTGAAATAACACGTTTGAAATTCTCTCAAGAAGTCATCGATTGGTTTAATCCAAACACTATGGATTCAACATTTCGAAGACATGATGGATGCGATGTTATATGAATTGAAAAGAAAATAGATTGCACCAAACATAATCATAAACGAATTAAGTTAAATGAAAATCAATTTAAGTCTTAATATATTTTATATATTTCATCATATTCGAATAAATCGATAAGCAAAAATAATTTTCAAATTTTTTTAAACCTCAATGCTTAGTTTTCTTACACTGATTTTCTATTCAAAGTTTGTCAAAGTACTTGCTGCACTTTATTCGCCTTGTGCATAAAAATAAAACAAAGCAGATTTTATTTGTTTTTTGGACTATGTATCATAATTGAACTCGAACCGGTCGATTTATTGATTCAATCTGGATGAATCTATAAAGCCGACTGGTTCGATGTAATGATATGGGTAACCACCAATATCACCACCTATGCCAGCTATTTTTCCTTAATGATGATGATGAGTACAATGTCGATATTTTACATCCAATAATTACCATGTAAATAACATAAAATATATTGTTTTCGCCTATAAAAAACTAATTATTACGTTCATTATTTGGTAGCTACAGTAATTATCTGTTGACTTCTGACTCGCTTCTTATAATTCACTTTATTTGTGGTATCCAGCGGATAGGGTGTGAATGTACTTCTTTCTTTCATCCATCCCTACTCACATATCCTAATTATTAATAAGACTTTGTCATGGTTTTGCTACATTGCTCATTTTAATGACCAATGTCATGAGGCAAACAAAAAACCTCTCCAAGTTACTGAAGAATCTCATTATAAAGAATGATTGAATGCCGACATTGCTCGAAAGTTTATCTTTACATGAAATTATCTATAAATAAGATTGTAATTTTATTCAATACATCATGTCAATGGATCGCACTGAACATTTCATTCAGTGTCTTTGCACTTATCATTGATTTATCTGTTCTTGTTTTTCTACTCTTCAAATCATTGAGTAGACTTTTGTTTTCTTACATCTTATTAGCCATTACTCGAAATAACCCGAAAAATAATCATTGGAAGCGATATACTTACTATTGAAGCAATCTGTGAATGAAAAAAGCCCGTCTCATAACACGCATCCTTCATTAATTTGATGTAAATGGCGCCGAGAATTTACTAACCACTATCATTTAACGATTCTAATATTTTTTTGAAATTTTAGTTTTTATTTAATTGATTTCAAGATGGTTCTACGCACACTCTGAATTCACCAGGATTTATGAATATTCGATCTAGACATTTGAAATTGAATTCAACGATTTACAACATAATGCGATTTTTTTCTCAAATAAATTAAAATATAAGCTATTGTTTCGTCCTACTCAAATGTATTCACTATGAAATTCGAATCTAAATCGTATGTATAATAAATAGGGTATCAATCTCTAATTCGATGCTCAGCTTCTCTGTGCTATTTTATGTTTATTGCATTACTACAAACTACTAGATTCAATAATCAATCTATCGAAAGTATTCATCTGAATCGATATGTAAATCCATAATTAGAGTTTTTTTGACAACAAAGTCAAGGAAAGAATTGCTAATAATGAAAAAGAAGAAGTCCAGGCTGAATGAGATGTTAGATGGCAATTATCATAAAAATCCGGACCTAGAGTGCATTGAATTTCTTCGATGATAAACATTGAACAGAGTGTAGAATAGATGTCGCCTAGAAGTTGTGCACGAACAACACCCGAAGATGCAGTTAGCCGATCCGATAGTTCGTTATCCAGACCTGGAAATGCCCACTCATTTCCATTTTTTGTTAATAAATCAAGAAGTTTTTCTCGTTTAATATCCGTTGTGCAATCCAGTGGGTCAATAATGGCATGCGCTATCGTATCAAAATCGGGTTGTATATGTATTTGATGTAGAAGGTACAGATGAATTACAGTTTGATTATTGACGATCGTATTCGAAAGAAAGTAGCTCGAGTAGCGTAGCGGGCGGTAGGGTTCAATTTCGGATGCATTCAATCGAATAACAGTTAGAGGAGGCCAAACAATTTCGAGGGTAATATTGCATAAGTATTGTCCACCTTGTTCAAAATTTCCGATAAAGAATTGAGCGGAAAATGTTGTCATATTACCATTGAGTAAATTATTCAATGACCATAAATCTGGCAAGATGGTCCATTGGTTTTGAAGAATACTCGTATTTGTTGGTAAGAGTAGATGATTCAAATTTGAATACGTCACTCTTGCCGTGAAGACTAGCTGAAAGTCATGTGGTGTACGAAACATTGGTTTGTGAGAAATCCAAACGAGACCTAACGTACTTAATGGTAATAATATGAATCCATGTTCAGCCATTCGTTCGTCGGACGGATATGGAGGTAATTGAGATGGATTAGGATCGACAATAAATGCATCATAATAGGCTTTATGTCGTTGATCGAAACCTGCTTTCCATTGTTCTTGCAATTCATTATTGAGTTGATGCAAATGATCTAATGATAAATTGAGTAGACGTTCTTTCGGTTGGTAGGTAGCACCAATTGGATAATCAACTTTATCTGTTTGAGTCATTTCAATATGTGCACCGAGAATGGCACTCACATTGAGATTATTTGACTCAATGAAGTACAATAGACGTTCAATCGAATCTACATTAGCCGAAAAATTTGCGATATATAAATGTCCTGGTAGCAATGAATCACCTGTAATCAATAATCCAGTTGCACAATCGTAGAAGGCTATCGAAGCATTTTCATGACCTGGTATAGGTATGATGGCTAATTGCCGCTGATTGTCAAGCGCAAAAGTGCCAATCGAATATGGCCATTTTGACAGTTTGAAAAAGTAACTCATATCTTCTACGCTTGTACCTACAACAGTGGTATACAGTTGACTTTGAAATTGTCCATCGCCGGCAATATGATCAAGATGATTGTGAGTATGAGCAACGACTAGCTCGAGATCTTTACGTTGTTTCTTGTTATTCAGACACCAACGATTAATGATACCTTCAACATGTTTTCGGATGGGAAATGAAGTTGATGCGACGGTTGCACCACTATCGATCAGTAAGATTTTCTTTGTGCCAAAGAGAAGATACATGAATGGAGCTTCATAATTAATGCACTTATTTTCACGAAGTATAAATGTATCATTATTCACAACAAATACATCTATATCAGGTTCTTTCGCTTTATAATGGAAACAATTGATGGAACCACTGGTCCATTTGGTCGGTAGCTCGACTTGGAGATAAGTAGTATTTTTGGAACAAGTAAACGAAGTGCTTGGATAGACTGAAATGCAAATAAATAGAAGAATCAGTGAGAGAAGCATTCTCAAGACGAGATGCAATCAGTGTATAATCTAAAAAAAACAACATGTAAGTAAGTCAAAACAAATATTAATGTTAGCTCCGTTCTGTTCTGTCATCGGATAAAGATGATGTATAATATAAATATAAAGCCTTTTGCTAATGTTTTAGGATTAGGAGCTGTGTTATTTAGGATTAATCGAAATATATTTTTTTAAATTTTCAGCACAAGTCTTACTTAATTCAAATGTGAAACACGATTGTTATTGTGTTGAAGTGTATGTAGTGAGAAAAGAGACAGCAGTTCGCGCTCCTGACACTTTTCTACAGACACATTTGTTGATATGTTATGGTAGATTTTCCACTCATATATTTATGAATTTTCGAAACTTGGTCTTCTGAAAATGCATTTCAAGAATATGAAACTTTCTTATGAGTCCATAGTGTGATAGAAGAGTGAAAATTAAACGATTATGTCAGACAATACATATACGACAAGAACCCTGAGATTATAGAAGGAGTCTCAGAAAATATGTCGATTGATTAAAAGATGATGCTTTCTGTTATTAGCAATGTTGAGAATTAGAATACAAAAATAAGACATTTTCGAGTCACCCTTATGCTAATATACAACCCATAGCTGCTCTGTTATCTTCTACACAGTACATCTGCATTGCTTAGAAGTCAGAATAGATAAAATACTGCATGTTACATGTAAAAATAACAATTAATTGAAGATATCGTACTTTTGCACTACTATCATTAGTTCTGCTTAGGCTAAGATGCAAGGTTATGTAAATTGAGATGAAAACATGGATGCTACTTTCAGTCGTCTGTGTATCAGATCCTGAAATCTTTTTTAGTCGTTACTATGTTGACATTGTCGATCAGCAATGTATAATTAATCAGACAACCACTACATTCAAGAGAAAAGTTCAACTCGAATTATGATCATTCGATTGATGGCATGTTGAGAAACGAAAAATATTCGGCTTTTTTTGGGTTATGCTGCTCACCATCAGGGAGCTGATTAGGACCACGAAAAACCGAACACTATTTCTAAAGATTGGTTTCTCAGTTCTTTGCCATGAAATGTCCGAGAATGTAAATGAGGAGAAAAGTCTCACTTACATCTCCAATATCTACTAACAAACGATTAGTCATCTTCTGACATATGAAATAGTTCAACCAAACAACAAAATATGATTGAATTGAGATTGAGAAAGAAATTTTCATCGGCAACTGAATATAACAGAGAAGTTGACTTTCAGAATACAACTAAGTTTGTCACTCATGTCGTAATAGGGTTTGGACCATCAACATGTACTTGTAGTATATTAGTGTTGTTGATAGGCTTTTGCATTTGTCTACGTTATCGTTCTCCAAGCTTTTCTCCTCCAGCTTTCAATAGTTCTAAGGTTTGGCTAAGATTTTTCCGTTTGTTTTTAAGTTCAGCTATAAACGCAGATCTAGATAACACTAGAAAATATCTAAAAGGATCCGTATCCATAAGCCTTTAGAGCCGAACTATGACCGTTTTAGTGAAATTTCATCCCTAGATAGATCTGATAACTCTGGAGATATGAGAAAGTTCTCAGCCGAAAATAATGTCTCACTGTCGAGATCTTGAATTTCCACAAAAATCATTATTTGTCATAGATACATCACTAAGATTAAGTTTACTTGAAAATTGAATATCCCAACAAGGAATTAAGTTCAGAATTATAAGACCTATATATGAGCAAAATTTTAGGTTAAAGTTCTATTATCTGATGTTTTATCAAATATCTAATAATGAATTGATAATTCAGTAAAACAAACATAAGTACAAGACTTTTTAAGTTTTCTAATCTTACCAAAACCTCTTTGTGTGTCCAATATGAGCTCAAATAGAAAATTACAGTTGAGTTCGATCTCTCGTTAATTCCATATGAAAATCAATGTTCTGAAAATATATCCTATTTACTCACAATCTATCCATTATCATCCATAGTTTCAACGAGACAAGCATCCATAATTATTATGTATACAATAATAATCTATATTTGTGCCATATATCGGCATAAAAAATATTCAGATATAATAGAATGTATTCTTTCTTTTTTGATGCCAATTGATACCATATAAAGGCAAGTAATAATTCGTCATAAAGTAAACAATAAAAAAACCTATTAAGAATAGTGCCGAAGAAAAAAAAAGATTGTTCTGTCGCTACCGACATTGATAGGTCCAATGTTGTCATTATCTCTTTGCACTAAGCATACACACTATCTGGCGAACAATTAGCCAGCTGTAGACTGAAGACTAGATGAAAACATATGCAATATTTCTAGAAACTGATGAAATGTATATGAAAATATTGTTAATGTTAATCAGATTGATGGCAACGCCTTGAGGGTACAGATGTAGATGGAAGCAATTTTCACACTAACCAACACCTATCTTATCGATCAATGAAATTCAACGCTTTAGTTGTCACAGCTATCACTCAAACAGTTTCAATGTTGCACAAGTGAGAGAATCATACAAAATCGAGCATTGAAAATATCCAAAAATTCAAGACATACTACAACGATATGAATCTATATTGTGCCGCATGGCATTTTTCAGTACAGTTATATGTTTAAGAAGACGTTTTATCTAAAGAAGAAAAAATTCGACGATTCCTTTATTCTTTTTCATTGGAAAACTAAATTACATGTTGAATTCATTGATAGTTATTGTTTTCGTCAATGGAAACACCCATTTTGAAATTCGAAGAGTCATTAGAAGAAAAACATTTTCCAACGATGTCTTGACCATGTTAGGTTGGAGAAGATAGCATTTTTATTTATGACACAATTAGATCTTCAATACGGAATTACAGAATCGACAAAAAACATTTTCTCTTCCATAGAGCTTTGGCAAGTTAATAAAAATATTCGCACTAACGCTATGATATAATTTAAATTGATAGACTTTATTGTTGTTCTATAATTCTAACTTGATTATTTTCTGTTAATGTTTACAAGTAAAGTAACATCATAGAGAAAAGAGAGAATTTTTAGCAACTGGTTGATGATATTTTGCACACCTCAAGCATTTTTATTCAATGTAGTCCATGTACATTATGTACTGAATACATATCATCAGTATCATTTAATCATGAAGATAGCTTACAACATCTTCAAACAGCTAAAAACAAAGTTGGTCGAATAACTATTGCTGAGCAATAGATGGTGAATCATAAGAGAAACTGCACCGTTCTTGTGCAATTTTGGCCATGTAATAGAAAAAGAAAAACAAGCATGTTACTCATCTATGACTGTGAAAGATTCATAAGCGTTTTTAATAGAAAGCAGAGCGATCGTGACAGTTCTATATTAGCAAATCACATGAAATATCATTAATTAAAATGGGTTTATCATATCAGAAACTAGTAGCCGCCTCTAACAAAGGCCAGAAACCATTGCTAGTATTTATATCCGGACTTCAATCGGCTGGTATGTATACTGAGTTTTCTTGTTATTTTCTTCGTTTGTGACCTATTCATATACTCTAATCATTTAAAACTCTCCTTTTCAATTAGAATTATTTAGTAAAATAGTGGAAATGGAATGTAATTGTACTTGAAAAATGCGCACAAATGAAAGAAAATCAGTAATGAAACGTGATTAAACTTTGGTTTTGAAGTTTAACCATCTCAGATGCATTTTTTATACAATACATTTGATATCCTACGATAGATGTGACGAGGACGTTTCATTCATATCAAGATACATCTTTGGGTTTATTTCGAGAATATAACTCACAATTCAGAGATTAATTATAGATATTCACTCATTCTACCGTTCTTTTAGCCTTATAATAGATAAAGATAGACAGATTCATAAAAAAAAACGTATTTTTGGAGCATATAGTCCTGCCTTCTCGATAAAACGAAGTCGATTTGCAATATTATCTCGAAGCATGATTTATCTGATCTTTTTTTCTCAATATAATTCATTGATTTGTATTAACATTGATTTATAAGAAGGCATGCGTGTTTAGTTCATCTTTGGATCCACAGTCACATTCATATTCTTATGTCAAGAATTCTTTGAAATCTTTCTACTAGCGATTAGCTGCATAATCGATTTTGAATAGAAAATGAACTATTGCATTTTGTAGAATAATATATACTTTAGTGAACCTTAGAATATCATCATTGTAGATCATCAGCTTGTTTTAATAATTTCTTATGTCGAACTCTTTCTGTTTCTATTGCAGACTGTTATCGTGCAGTCCTATGTCAGCGTTATTTCTCTGCAAAAATGCAATTGATCAGTAAAAAATTTGGTAGCAGGTTTAGCAGCGAATTGATCGTACTTGCAGTGTATGCCCACATTTATTTTTACATGTGTTTTCATTTAGGCAAAACAAATTTACTTAATGTCACGAAATATGGCAAAGATGTTACAATAACATCAATAATAAGTTCGGATATTTTAATAAATATAGACAATATCCCTATGTTTGTCATGGATGAGGGTGGGCGCACGAGAGCTCGTGCTTATCAACGTATTTACTATCGCCGATTTTCGGGAATTATCTTTGTTGTTGATTCAAATGATAGAGAATGCATTGATAAAGCACGCGATAAACTTATTCAAATGCTAAATGAAGAAGAACTTCGAAACAAGCATTTTCTTATTTTTGCTAATAAACAAGACTTATCCAATGCAATGACATTGAATTTAAATAAACTGAATGATAATTCTAAATGGCATTTGCAATCATCTTGTGCCATTCGAAATGAAGGTATTCATGA